AAGATTTATGATAATACAATGGGTGCATTGTCAACCGACCCTCCCAGTTGCTTAGAAACTAAGCTGCTACAAGGATGTTATGGTGCAGACTCACCCAGCCACCGAGGTGAGGAAGTGAGTTCTTAGAAATGTTTTGGCAGATGCCTCTGTCGCTGTGCTTTGAGGACTTCCCCAGTTCATGTGGAAAGGGAAACCCAGATCTGAGAGAAATCTTCCCCTCGATGCTACAAAAAATTGGTTGCATTTGGTCAATCACACAATTTTGCGGGCGTGCTCATGTCACAGGGATGCTTTGGGGTCATCTGGTTGTTCACGCAAAGGCCTGAGATGCCTCTTGGGAATCTGTTCATTGCTAAGGAATTGGGACAATGACGCCGCAGTCCTTGTTCTCTGAGAGAGAGAGGACGGGGTGGGCGAATAGTGTCCTCTCTGTGGGACAGCCATTGCTGACTTTGACAAGAAGAGTGGAAGAGTTTAGAGGGGGGAGGCTATGCTAGGATGTCATGGGGACCATGCAGTGGAGAAGACAATGACGGCTAAGGGAGAGCTCATAGCACAAAGGTGTTGGCGGCCGTGGAGAAGGGTGGGGAAGGAGAAAGATGAAAATTTGGGATGATAATTGAAATTCCTTTTCTTTGTGTTCATTAAATCCCCAAAGACTCTTTTATTCAGTGAGGTTCTCAAGCCACACGTCTTTGTTTTGAAGACATTCCACTTGTGGGAAAGGTTTCTCTGAATATGGAAGGCTCCTTGGGCAGAGGACTGGTTTTTGCCTGTTCTTCCTGGTACCGCCTCTGCGTGGGGCTCCGAGGTTCCCTGAGCAGAAGTGAAGGCCTTCTTCTCGGTAAGGAGTCTGCTTCTGCTGAGCACACGCTGACTTCCCCAGGACGAGACTCTCGCTTCCCTGCCTCTTGTGATGGCTGCGTAAAGAAAATTCCACCTTCCCTCAGAGGCTCCGGGAGATGCACCCTGAGAGCTTGTGGGGTGTGCTCTTATGATCTCGCAAGTCTCTTCTGATTGACATGGCGCCCAAGGTGGGGGAGGCGACCTTCACACCCCAGCGGAGGTGGCATGGTGAACTGGGGGGTCCCCAACACAGATCTGCTTTCCCTCCCCCCACTCCTCTCACCCCCGCCCTACCCCACTCCCACCTGAGACATTGACGCTGCGGCCGGGTACCAAGCGAGGAAGGGCAGGCAAGGCCCACAGAGCGAATGCGGAGTCCGTGTCCTGGTGTCATGCTTATTGAGGCTCCTTCCCTCCTGCCTGTGATCCATCGCTCCAGGACAAATGTCAAGCGAGTGTAAGGATGGCAGCCTCATGCCACATCCCACCAAGTCAGAATTAGAAACTGTCTCCAAAGGCGAGCTCTTGGAACAAGCGCCGCCCTTTTGGGGGAACACGGTGCAGGCTGCTGCCCATACGCTGTGCTCAGACAGCTCAGTGGGCGAGGTGCTGAGAGAGGCCAGAAGAGGACCTGCGTCTGTCTCTTCCTCGCAGCGCCTGCGTGCTGCCTGCATGCCACCTGCCCTGTGCTTGTGCATGGGCCTGCCTCCCCGGGTCCGGCAAGTGGCACCCAAACGGAGCCTGGCTGCAGGTTTTTCCAAACTGCACCACAGAGGCCGCCTCCTGGGGCTGGCCGAGGAGATCTTTTCCCGAGAACCTCTGCGGTATTTTGAGATACATCCGAATATTGTGACAATTATCTCAAACACAATATTTTAATTGTGTTCGGTATTGATGGAAATAATTCACATCAACCCTGGACCCGCAGACAAATACTTTCGTAAGGGTAAATATCAGAAGATATCTATTTTACCCACGCACACAAAGACGTGGTTGTCTTTTCTAGCACGCAAAGCAAAATCCTCGGATCTTCTGCAGACACTAGGAAAATGGAAAATATCGACGGTCAGTCGGACTGCTGCGGATCTGCACACCAGAAGCGTGGTCCCGGACTTTGAGCGAGAGGGTCTCGGAAGCACACGTGCCTGAGGAGTCATCTTCTAATTGAACCTTGCGTTTTCCAGATGAAGAAATGGGGGCCCACGGAAGGGAAGGGGTTCAGCTCCAGCCCTCCATCCCAGTACGATTTTCTTCCTGGCACACAAGCACCGCCCCCTTCCCCCGACTCCATCCCAGTTCAGAGCGAGGAGGAAGCAGGAGGAAGGTGTTGTCAGTATTCCGTTCCCAGGGCCGCTGCAGCACCCAGCTGGGAGGAGAGGAGAAGTTGGGGCAGACAGCAGGTCGGCCGGCGGTGTTCTCACCGCGACCTCACCAGGAGAGGGCAGAGGGACAGCCCAGAGTTCCAGTTTCCCTCCTGGGGTTGAGGTCATAAGTGAAGCCGAGGGAACAGGAACGACAGAGTCCCCGCACACGGAGGGACATTCTCGTTGCCTGGAACAAAGGAAGCGAGTATTTTCGAGAGCTCACCATGCACCGGGGCGACCGCTCGGTGCTTTCGAGTGTGTTCTCTGATTGCAACTGCGCAGTCACCTCCTGGGGATATCCCGATGGCAGGGGCCCTCGCTGTGGCAGACACAGGAGCTAAAGCTCAGGGATGGCATACAATGTTTCCGAATTCGCAAAACCAGAGGAGCCCCAGTTCGAACCAAGTGTGACCCTCAAGCCGACATACACCCTCGGTCTTGTCTTTCCGGGCTCCGAGCGAGGACAAAGACATTAGAGCAAATGGTTGGCGAGGGCATGAGACAGAGGAAGGGTATGTGTGGCAGTCAAGTTTGATCAGGAGGTGGGAGCCAGGCCAGGGGGGGCCTTGAATGGGGTGCTGTGGGGGTGTTTCCGGGCGGTGGGGGAGTCAGCGTGAAGTCACCGGGTATGCGGGCTGAGGGGGAAGGTGCGGAGGGGCCGGGAGCAAGAGGAAGGGCCGCCGAGGTGGTTTCACAATAGTGTCTGGACTCCACGGGACCGACGCTGGAGATTTCTGGGAATGCGCCCGTTTCCGACACCGGCTGACCTCCGGGAGAAGGAACAGAAAGCCTCGGGCTGGAGTTCCAGTAGCTCCACCGAGAGAGGAAGTCACGTGTGCCTTCCTGGCAGCCTCTTGGCATCTGGGTGTCAGAGGACGTCCCCTGGGTCACTACCACCCTTACGTTGTCAGGGCGCTTCAGAACGACGGGAGCGGTCTTTACATTGCAGAAACTGTTTGGAGATTTTGCTTCAGTCCTATGGTCCGATCACGAGGGCTTGGAGATCAGAGGGCTTGACATCAGCCTGGGGACGAGAAGGTCTCCTTTTTATTTCTCTTGTATTAACATTGGCTTGGGGCTGCAGCTGCAGAAACCTGGATCATGAGTTAGTGCTGGAAGGGATGCCTTGATCTTCCAGTAATTGTTAAAAGATGAGAAGACTGATGTCTCGAGCAGTCAGGAAACTTGCCTAAGATGACATCACTCCTGCCTGGCCGGGTTAGAACGCAGGTCACCGCTAGCCAAGCCCTGCGCTCTCCGACTGGAACGAGGTGGCCACACACGCTGCTGCGACCGACTTGCTCGGAGAGCAGCGGGGCGTTTATTTGCGCCGGGGATTGGGGTGATAGGGTACAATGCCTTCTAAGGGGCCTTCTTCCAGAACACTGCCCCAAGGACACCCATTGGGCCCCAACACGCAGTTCAGAAAGGGGAGAGAGCCAAAGGCTTATCATCTCAAGCCACCCCGAGTGAACACCTCGCCGCATGGGCTCCTCCCTGAGCTGGCAGGGCTCCAGGCGTCTCTCCTTCCGCCCCCGCCACCTCCGGGTTTCAGCGTGGTAAGGCTTGTGCTCCGATTCCCTCGGGAAGCAGGGGATTCCTCACGCCTGTGGGCAGTCGCCAGAGGAATCCACTCGACTGCAGCTACTGGTGCGCGCCAGGGAGTGGGAGGCGGGGATTCCGCGCCCCAGGGCAAGAAAACAAAGTCCTCGGCAGGCCTCCCTCGCCTCCCTCCCGTCCGGACATCCAGCCAAACCACGTCCCGTGGAAAGAGCTGTTGCTCTTGGGAGGAACAGGAGGTAGAATTTTATTTCCATGTCCTTCTTCAGTAGGTGACCGAAGCATGTGGCGCAAAATTTTTAAAAAATGTAACAGAGCAGACCGTGAAAAGTGGGGGTCCTTCCTGGTCCTGACCTGAGGATTTCCATTCTTTTCTCCAGGGGTGACATTTGTGAGCAGCGTTTTGTGTCTCCGTTCAGATAGATTCAGCGCCCACGCCGGCATCGCTTTTATTTTGTTAATACATAGTAATGTACTTCGTGCATAATCCCGCCTTTTGTTTTCTTTCCCTTTATATATTTCGGAGTTCGCTCCTTATTGAATCTGTTTGTTCTTTTCACTGTCAATTAACTGCAACACTTTATCCAGCAGACTTCCTCTCTTCCTGCTTGCTGGGGAATACTCTCTGGGTTCAAGTTCGATTTTTTCCAAGCTGTTAAAGAGAAGGGGAAAACCCAACATTAAAAAAAGCTACACTTGCATGCTCTGAACTCTGAAGGGTTAGGTCAGTTTTTATGGCCTGTGCGCCCTGAATATAAAACGCCTTGACTCCTGCGTTACAGTCGGGAGCCACTCCCAGGGCATTCTGGGAGTCTGTGGCCACGGTGGACTGATTGGTCCCACGAGGGGATGGATCTGTGCAACTGAGTGAGTTTCTTGACGAGGTGACTATCAAATGCTCTGGTATCCAAAACGGGAAGTTGGGACTCAGTGAGCCAAAACCATGTGCCAAAGGAAAGTTGGGCAGGGACCAGCACAGACCTTAGCTGCTCGCACGCACGGAACAACAGAACACTCCTGACTTATCTCAAGAACCATGACAGAGAAGCCGGGGGCGGGTTGGGGGCACCCAGGAGGCAGCCTGGGTCTAATCTTCATGGAAAACACCAAGTCTTTGGCAAGTTGCCCCCTCTCTAGGCTACTACACCCCTGTGTCATAGAACATGACTTGTCGATTCCGTTCGTTCACTATTTTATTTTCCTAAAAGCATGTCCTTTTTCCTCCTTCAGGTGCCACCTCAGTATCCTCCAGTTCAAAGGATCAGAGCACAATTTACCAGTAAGTACTGTTGAAAGTTTACTTTTTTAAAAGAATCTCCTCTCCAGCCCCTTCACTTCCTCCACAACCCAGCGTCTCACCCTTTCTCAGGGAAGCATTACAGCCTGGAATTGCTGGACCCTGCATGTTGTGCTTGTTGGGGACAAAGAAGGTGTAGAAAGGAAAAAAAGGGGGAGTCCTTAGTTACCAAATCTGCTTGCCACTGTATGAATGAATTCTTGTAGCTGCCTCACTAATCCTTCCAGGAACCATCTGGGTAAGAATTATTCTTATTTTTTAGGTAAGGAAACTAAGGCTTTACTTCTTACAAGATGGTCTGTGGGACACACCATTTCCAGTATAGGACAAGGTTTTTACCTTAATGAGAGCTGGGACCCAGCTCTCACTAACTACTGGGAGGGCGTCGCTTAGTCCACGATTAACACCAGGACGCCCACCGGTAGTTTCCTCAAGGCTCTTCATTGGTTTCTACGTTCTCCTGAGCCCGAGGAACGTGTATCTTGCCCTCCGTGAGTGGTCTTCCTCTTCAATTCCAAGCATGCCCCGCGGGCCTGCTACAAAGCAAGAATGACTGAGTTGTGTCCAGCACTGGGGACACGAGCCACAGTGGGGACTCTGAGATGTGGCTGCTCAGCCATGACGGAGCTGATGGAAGAGAAAAGAGATTTAGACTTTTTGGCTTACACTTGGAATGAATGGCTCCACACAAGGTTACCAAAGTCATTACTCTGCATCCTCCTCTTCCTCCTCCTCTTCCTTTTCCTTCTCTGGTGGAAACAGTTCTTCCCAAGGCGCATTCCAGGGGAAACTAGCAACACAAAGTTGAAGGGAGAAGCAGGCCTGTGTTCCCGAGTGCTGTCTCCTTCTTCTTACTGAGCAGACTCTGAGCTCACCGACATTCTGCACACGGCAGCATGATTCAGCTTTAGTGGCTGCTGGCAAAGGACACTCGGTTCTGTTTAGAAGTCCAGTGCCCCTGGTGTGTGAAACATGTGCATTTCACAGTCAGATGGAGAGAGAATAGGAAGAGCTCGAAGCCATGACTTTGCATGGAGAGGGTGCACGGGACCTGGCAAGTGGCCCTCCCACCCCCTTTTGCTCTCAGAGCCACTGAGCAAGAAAGAAAACCCTGAAGTTGCCAGTCCCTCCTGGTTTTGAAAATCTGGAGCACCTGCAAGCTCCATTTCTTGCCACAGGTCTGTTGCAACGACTACCAATTGCTTTAATTCCTCGGCTCTTGAATCCCAGCCCCATCGGGAACCCTCTCAGGTACTAGCCCTAGCTGTGCCCTCCTCCATTCCACAGACAAAGCATGGTGCTCGCTTCCTCTCATCCTCCTCAAAATCTCTCCCTATTGCTGTCTCCTCATATGTTTCTAGACATGCTGGAAGGTTGTTGTCCAAAGCTGTGCTAAGGAATCATTCTTTGTTCCTTCTTCTTTTTGTCTTACCCTCCTTAGGCTGTGACAGTGACCAAGGTTGCCTCCTCACATCCCCAGGCGAGGAGACCATGACGGTGCAAGACAACTCAATCCCCATCAAATGTGATGGGTTTTATCTCATCTCCATAAAGGGCTACTTCTCCCAGGAGATCAACCTCAACCTTTATTACCGGAGAAACCTGGAATCCCTCTTCTCCCTGAGCAAAGTCACATTCGTCAACTCTGTCACCGTGGCCTTTCTGGCTTACAAGGACAAAGTCTACTTGAATGTGACCACCCACAATACCTCGTATGAAGACATCCAGGTGAATGGCGGGGAGTTAATTCTCATTCACCAAAATCCTGGGGGATTCTGTGCCGAATGAGGACCTGACGCCCACATGGAGGCCAGTGCCGAGCATACATGCCACACGGAGGGTGGGCAGGACACCGACTCTTCCTTGGGAGTGGAGGAGTCGTGCCAGCTCAGCCCCATCTACGGCCACACAGGATGTGACCGGAAGATCCCCCCACCCCTACTCAGGGATATTTAAGACTTATTTTATGTATCATTTAACTTTATTTATCCTCATATCTACCAAACGACTCAGCCCTCCTCCCCCACACGTGCCTCACGCCTCCCAGGTGCCTCCCAGGTGCCTCCCAGGTGCCTCTGTGGGATGCGAAAGTAGGTGCCTCCCCCCGAAGACGCACTGTTTCCACTGGGCAGGAAACCGTCGTAATAAACTTGCTGTATTGACAAAAACACTGGACTACCATTTGCTAGACACTTGACACCTGGCACTGTCAACACGTGGAGGACCCGGGAGGGGGGCGATGAGTCTGCCGAAGAGAGTGTGGACCTCCTCCTGATAGCCGGGGCTGCCTCTCCAGCGTGGAGTTGGGTGCAGTTTGATCGTTGCCTGAATGCCTCTTGTTTGGTGAAGTTCAGAAGGAAAGTCACCTTGCGAGCAGCTGTCCGGACTTGGTGGAGAGAGGCAGCTAAGGCTGACTCCGTGCCCTGCCTGGGCTTGCTTTCTTTACCACTCCCCCAGTCGCCAAATGTTCTAAATAGAAATTCTCTCTCAAAAGCCCACCCCGGTGATGTGATACGGGGAAAAATCAAATCGGCCATTAAGGAAAACCAAGGAAAAGCACTCTCTAACCCAGGAGAGTGAGAGGGTTTGCTGGAGTGCACGGGAGAACCGTGAACCTGGAACTCTCAGGGGAAAAGTCAGTAAGACTCGAAGCAGCCTGGGGAGGAAATCACGCTCTTTGCCACAGTTTGCCAGAGGAGCACGGATGTGTCCTCCTCCTTATGCTGACAAACACTCACCCCCATGCCTTGTACACGCACACACCACATGGCTAGTTTCACAGATGAAGCAATTCCATGATCACATGCAAAGTCATGTCAAAGACACGGAGCGCACCCTGTTTCTTATGAAAAACAATAATCTCTATGTAGAAACACCCTGGTATCCCAGCGATACCTGAAACTAGAGGGGCCCATCATCAGCCAACCCCTTAATGTTTCACTGAAATGCTCCTCTTGATCAGGCTGCCAGCATAGTAGACAGTGGGATTTTTCATAAGTCAAATTTCACGTTATTGTGTAGGTTCTCAAATTCTGGCCAATATTTTATTTTTTAACAGGAGCCAGTGTTTCCCTGCCATTTTAAATACAGTGCACAAAATGCCGCAGACTTTCTCTGGGTGGTTCTGCGTCCTCCCCGTCGCTGTCCTGTGCTGCAAGGCAGTGACATCTCCAGGCTGTTCAGAAAGGTGGCAGGCAGTTTGGCCCTGCGCTAGATGGTCTCGCTCAGGTTTCATTACTTTTATGTCTGCTCAGCGTAGCTTTCCATCTCATCTGAAAGTATCTATTTCCAAGGATCTTCCCACCTTTCTATCTTAGTCTGTTGTGGGACATAAATAAGTGCTCAGTAAAAAGAAAAAGGTAACTAAGAGAAATTGTGCCTAAAGGTAGGAGTGATCAAGTTCTAGATGGTGGCCAAGGCCTCACGTAATCCTAACCATGACCATAGGTAGACATTTAGGGAGGGCCTACTGTGGACTGGGCATCAGGATAAATGGTTTACGCGAACCATGCTGAGCAAGATGCTCCGTAAATCTGTCTCGACTACTCAGAGGAGCTATGTGTGTAGACACGCACACACAGGAGCATGTTGACTACGGTCGGCAAAGCTGATATTACTCATTGAGTGTTATCTCATAAGTAAACGTTTATGACTGTAGATAATATTTAAGAAAATGTATGTTTACTTTGTTACGTTTGGAACTTCTGACTGTATTTCACCTGCACACGCACATTCCAGGCCTACACACAATTGTTCTGGCGGGTGTTTGCCGTTGGTGTCATGGCCTCTACCCACAGGTGCCTGCTCCCTGTGGGCACACCTGGCCTGCTCGTTCCTCGCTGGCCTCCTTCAGCCACGCAGGGATGTTCTGCCATGGAGCAAACTCACCCCCCCCCACCTCCTCTCCTTCAAAACAGGCATGTCCCCTTTGAGTCATTCCTTCAGGGGGACAATGAGCTCTTCTCTGGACACAGCAGAGTTCTGTGGAAATAGAACTGAATTGAGAAGTCAGGAGACTGGAATTCTAGTTTGACTCAGTCACTAACTAGCCAAATGACTCTGGGCAAAGGATTTCCCATTTCTCAACCCTGCTTTCCGCCCTGGTTAAGCTATCACTTTAGAATCTTAATGCTCATAGGCAACCGTGAAAGTGCATGCTGAGTGTCCGTGTACTGGTTGCTGTGAGTCCACATATATGTAACCTCTTTTACTATATGTTCCCCTTGCACCCCCTTGGACAAGCTAGCAGTCTTTCCTCAGCCTTCTCGGTGAGTCCTTCAAGACCGGTTATCAATTGTTACATAGTGACTTCCTCCTTAGGGAATGACATAAGGGATCTAATCTTGATCTAAGTCATAATTTGTTCTTGAACATACTGGGCAGGTCCCCTATTTTAAGTCCTGGTTTTGTATTTAGTACTTTCTTGACTCTCAGAGAGTATTAATATTGATATTAATAATATAGCTAATAATAATATTCATATTTACATGGAAACAAATAAAAGGTCTCAGAATTCAGTACTGGTTAACGTGTTGGAGTCTTTATTGATCCTTCTCTCCCTTTCCTGGTCACGCTTGGCTGACTCCCTGATGGGGGGAACCTGGGGCAAGTGTTCTGGTTGCCTCTCTGCCTCTTGTTTCAGCCGCCGGAGCTAGGCCCAGTGAGTGGTTAAGGTCAAACTCCATCTTTGCTTCTGAAAAGACACTCATGTGCTGGAAGTCCTCAGGGCGCCTCTTCATGGTCCAAGAGACTGTTCTGATCCAAATGGAATCCTACATCACTCTGTTCTTTCCCTCAGGACTTCTGGCCTGATTTTTTAAACCTGGAATGATTTCTGTGGGTATTATGTCCCCTCTCCTCAGCAGAAATTACATCTGCAGTCTCAAGAAGAGGTCGCAGTTCCTGATGGATTTGTGTGCAGTCAGCCACCGTGATTCCTGTACCACCCACGATGGTGTTGACCCTTCTCTCCCCCAGGAGATGCTCCTATCCCTGCTTCTTTGACCTCAGCCCTTTCTGGTTTTCTTTTCCCTGCCTTTGCTCATCTCTTTCACCCCTCCCCTTTCTCTGCCCCTACCTCACCTTGTTGGTTTTATTTTTTTTAGATTTTATTTGTTTTTAGAGGGAGGGGAAAGGAGAGAGGGACAGAAATGTCAATGTGTAGTTGCCTCTTGAGTGCCCCCCACTGGGGACCTGGCCTGCAACTCAGGCATGTGCCCTGACTGGGAATCGAACTGGCGGCCCTTTGGTCCTCAGTCCATGCTCAATTCACTGAGCTACATCAGTCAGGGTGCCCCCCACCCCACCTTTAACACTGCATTCTTCAAGGTTCCACCCTCAGCCCTCTTCTTCTCTACAGTCTGGTGGCCAGCAATCCACAATCCAACCTATGCATGCATTCAGTTTGTTTGTTAAGTTGAATAGAGTTGCCAATATTTAAACATTGGGAAATATCTGGTTTCTTTTGATGAAACAAAATAGGAGACCCAGCGATTCTGGGCTGGATTTTGGAATGGCAGCAATCAACTCAAGCAGAGTAGCAGCCACCCTCTTTGGAAAGACTGTGCACTCTCCCCTTCCCCAGAGGTACCCTATTCATATGATGTGCTTAGACTGGCCCATTTCACTCATTTGCTACATTTGAGTTCTAGGCATTTGAGTTGTGACCTTTGCTCTACACACTTGCCCATTTCATGGACTTTCTTATGCCTTCAACCACTGCTCATACGCCGATGATATCTAAAACCATTCTCCAGTACAGATGTCCTCCACTCTGGGGTCACACTTACTGCAGTCACCTGGGTTGTTAGCAATAAAATGCCACTTACTGATTACTTATGACATGTCAGGCATCATAGTAGTCACTTTATATGCATCGTTTAATAGTATCTTCCTAAAAACTCTTTCAGGTGAGTGTTATTATTCCTATATTTTGCATGAGAACACCTGAGAGTCTTAGAGGGAAAGTAATTTGCCCAAAGGCATGCAGCTAGTAAGTGGTGGAGCCCAGGTTCAAGACCAGGGGTAGCTGAAACCAAAGACCATGCTCTTACCCATGGGTAGCCTGTCTCTGGGAAGCTCCAGGTGGATGCAGGAAGGACTCAGCACAGGATGCTCGCACAGACGGTCTTCTTCCTCACTGAGCCCATCTATCCCCCTGGTGCATGATGTTGGTTAGAGGCATCACAATCATGCCAGAAGCCAGAAGTCCCAGTGTCACCCTACTTTCTCAGTCTTTCTGTCCCCGCCTATGTGCCTGTGGACACTGCCTTCTTCTCATTAACTCTTTGTATTTCAGACATTGCGGTAATCTTCCACCAAGCCTATATGCCTTAGTGAGTCCTGGTTAGATTTAGAAGATGATAGACCCTAGGTCAAGGAATGAGTGAAAGGGACAACCAAAGTGGAGCAGGGTGCCACTGTGGAAAGACCATGGTGTGCGGAGCCTAGCTTTAAATCCTGACTCTGTTGTTTATGAGCTGGGTGACCCTGGCAAGTGTTTCTTTTCCCTTTTTTAAAAGCCACTCTAAATCTTACCTTCCTTATCCGTAAAGTGGGGGCATTAATATATACCTTCTGGGTTATTGTGAACATAAGAGTACCTAGTATATTGCCTGAAGCATAGTTGGTCTTAATACTAAATAATGATTAATTTACAAAAGTCACTCCACAAAGCAGAAGATAGGTGCCAAATGAATAACAGAACTATGGGGATGTGGGGGTGCAGAGAACACTGAGGCCTGATGGAAGAGCTTGGCAGGACTCCGACTGCGGAAGGAGAGGGAAGGAGAATGTAGCAGAGGAAGAACAGCATACATAAGGACTGATGGGTAGGAATCCTCAAGGTTTTTTCTGCAGCCGAAGAGCTACCACTTGGTTACGGCACTCACTCTCTTCCCATGACCTGAGCACATTCTGTTTCTTAAGACAGGAATTTGTGCATGGTCATGGTTGGTCTTAAGAATTAATGGGCATTTTGAGGACGACATATTGGACGCATCAGAGACACGGTTAAGAATTTCTGGGTCATGTCCTGCAAAGGAAGACGCTAAAGATTTTTGAATGAGAATTTATCATGATTTGAGGAAAGAGACGAAGTTCAATATCCCTTTTCATTTTGACCCAATTCATATGAATACTTTACTGTTTGCCTATTGAATCAAAGCTTAGAATGACTTTTACTAGAAGAAAATAAGGACTTCCAGCCAAGATGGAGGCATATGTAGGTAGACACACTATGCTTCATTGCACAACCAAAAGAAGGACAACAATAAATTTAAAAACAAAAAAAAACCCAACCAGAACTGACAGAAAATCAAACTGTATAGAAGTCCAACAACTAAGGCATTAAAGAAGAAACATTTATCCGGGAGGAGGGGCAGAGACAGGCATCCGGGTAGAGAGGACTTGCAGCAAGGTGGTGGCTGGAGAACTGGGAGAGGTGAGGAGGCAGCTGGAAGAGCGGGCGGTCCCACATTCACGTGCCGATAAACCAGGAGGAACACCTGGGGAGTAAGACAGATGGTGCAACCCAGGGTCCCAGCTCAGGGAAATAAAGCCTCAAACCTCCTATTGAAAACACCTGTGGGGATTGAGGTGGCAGCAGGAGAAACTCCCAGCC